CCCCAAAACCCCAAAACCCCAAAACCCCAAAACCCCTTCCATGAACATTTAGACTCAACATTACAAATAGCACAATTAAATCTTTAATCAAAAGTTTATATTTCTAAGAAGAATTGTAAGTAAAGCTGTACTAGCAAATACTATTGGGATTGTAATTATCCACCAGATAAAAATCTTACTCATTACCTTGAAATTAATCTTATTTTCTGACTATTAGCTGTGATTAGGATAAATCTTCTAATTAATGCTAAAATGACTTGCAATACTCAAACCTAAAAGTGATCCAACACTACAATGTGTTGATGATAGTGGTAATCCAAAAAATGAACCAACCATGATAGAGATTGATGTAGCGAACTAAGAGCAAAATCCTTTTTAATAATCCAAAATGATGACTTTCTTGCCTAGAGTCTCCAGTACTCTAGACCCAAAAGTCATCAGGCCTAGAGAAATAGTAATAGCACCCAAAAGATAAATATAGCTTTAATCATAGCCATAAAACTTGAAAGTGTTTAGTAAAGGAGTAACTGCATTGGCAATGTTATGAGAGCCATTCGCAATACAAAATTGTAAAGATGAAACTATGTTGAGATGTTTAAAGACTATACTAATTGCCTTGTTTTCTGTTTATAATTACTCATTAGCAGCTATATCATCCATACTAAAACTTTTATCGACTACGGTAGGCTGATAGTACTTATGACTAATTTTAATTAGCTTTTTTGTTATTAATGAGCTTGAAAAGTTTTCAAAGCCTTATCTTTATGAGTTTTGAATAATCTTGTCTGATTCAGACTTGTTATTGATTTCTTGTTAATGTTCTTTTTATATCTAGATAGAAGTTGAATTTGAGGAATTTTAAGTTTATTGATTTTATTAATAACCATCAAGTAATGGCAGCTTTAAGTCATTTCTAAGTTCATCTATTTGTCCATATTTATCCTAGAATATTGAAGTATTCCAAGGCTTCATAATTGCAGTAAGACAAGAATCTCTTGTTATTAATTTTAATTCAAATAGAATTGCTAATCTTGAATAAATGAACCCAACTAAAAATGCAAGTAATAGGTAAAGAGAATTGCTATATTTAAAGTTAAAGTCAAATCCAATGGTATAAAATAAATGTACAATTCTGAGAATATAAAAAGACTATCTGCTATAAGTGATGCTGTAAGTATAACAATGATCATGAAAGTCATTCCTGAGAGCACAGATAGCACTGTCATTCTTAAATTGAAGCTCAATTTCTCAGAATCCATGATATACTTGCAAACAAAGGTGATAAAAATACAAGTAAGAGATGCACTGACTAGAGGAGAAAGGAACCTGGAAAGAAGATATTAGATAAATTAGAATAAGTATTTTACCAAGATATTACGATAGTTTAGAGCTAAGATGCATTGATATTACTTGCTCCAACACCAACTAAACCTGCTCCTAGTAATGCCCCTACCATAGAGTGTGTTCCAGAGATAGGAAATCCAATAAATGATGATAAAGTTGTAAATCCAATAGCACTCAACTAAGCATGATTTAAATACTGAAATATCATTACAGTTACTCCGAGCATCATAGCTTTTTGCAAATCAAGATTAATCGAATCAAAATTCAAAATAATTTTCTGAGAGACAGTGGTATTTACTTGCTTCGAGCACCAGTATGCCCCGATAAATTCAAAGATTCCTCCAAGAACCAACTGTAAAGCTTTAAATCATTGTAAATTTACACAATTTCTAAGAGATAAAGCCCCGCTACTGTATGTAGTGGCCAAGGCATCAGTTTCATTTGTTCCAATTGAAAAGCTCATCAATGAGCCCAAAATGATCATACTTAGAAGGTAAATATCACTTATCATTTTTCTCTCAAGATTTTAAATTATTACGTAAGCACTATAAAGATTTTAAATTTATATTTGAAATCTTAATAATTAGGATATATTTGATATTAAGTTTTTAGATTTCTCTCTTTCCATGAGTGATTGATTCATTTACTAACTCTTGGTAATGGGGTTTTGGGGTTTTGGGG